ACTGCACCAAGCTAAATCCATGCCACACCAAAGCCTCACCAGCCGGACAAGCCAGCACAGACGAGATCTTGTCGAAATTGCCATGCTTTGCAGAGTGCATACTGGCCTACCTGAACATGACCTTACCCAACATATGAGCCTGACTGTCCTTAGCACTGGGAGCTCATTGAGACCAGGCCCCACAAGCCTAGTGGCCTCCTGAAACCTGATTTCCATATGGTGTGAGCTATTTAAGAATGGTGATCGGATATCGAACGTGAGACAAGACAGCAATGAGCAGTGGGCGGTTCATGCAACCATAATCATGTTTCCTTACCACAAGTATCAAAGCAAAATTAAAAATAGCTACCTATCGAATTCAAATTTCACTGGAACCTCACCTGCATGGATCTTAAGTGAAAGGATCTTGATACATCTGCACGAAAGATACATCTTGATCCACTCATCTCAATCTTGTTTTTCTGCATCCTGATCCAGGGCATGCAACACTTCTGGTCAAGGCCGTATATAGGATATCACTTCTGGTATTTTTGGCACCACACTCGACTGCTGAGCTCAAATGCAAATTGAAATCGCAATCACGGTCATAAAATACTGAATATTGAATCGCAATATATATTCAGTCGATGTACCCCTCGTTCGATGTCTCTCAGACGACGAAGATTGTACGTCGTCCGGCCAATCCCGTTCTAGATCAACGGGGGCTCGGCTACAATTATGGAATGTGATTGGCCAAATGGCGTAGAATCTTTGTCGTCCGAAAAACATCGAACAAGAGTAATGTCGCTACTGCGCCATTGTTGCATCGAATTCGCCCCATAGAAGCACGTGTTAACTCTCTCCCATAGGGCCCTGGGTAAACTCTCTCCATAGGGTCCTGGGTAAACTCTCCCCTTGTCTATTTTCTTTAAACGGGGATAGTTTGAACAACAAAATATTTTCGACCTCATAAAAAATAAAACTTAATTTTTGATGTACCTCATTGATGCAAAACATCAGAAAAACATTAGAAATTAAGTCAAAGAAACCGATTGTTTATAAATGGACAGCTGACGGCATGCCTCCCGTGTCCCCTGGCTTGAAGTTTCGGCTCCGTGTTACCTTAGTATTCTATGACCGTGAAGGTATTTGGGAAACGATTCGGCCCTAGGGCTTTTTGATTTTCCCAGACAAAATTTTACTGAATATTCTGAGCGGAAGAACCAATTTCAAAGTAGATATTTACGGATTGTGTGTTCACTAACAGCAACAGCAAAAGTAAGTGACTGCGTGTTTACTTACTTTTGCTGTCAACGTAATTCAACTAAACAAGGTTATCGTTCCAAAGCCAATGTATTTATTGCTGCAGAACATGGTCGGAATAATCATTATTTCTACACAATGCACGCAAAAGACGAACAATTGAAATGCGTGAAGCATCTTAAGGTGCCACAATGAAACATTTGATATTGTTCCAGCTGGGATCCAAAACGCGTTTCATTCAGCGTTTCACCCAATTTTCAGTTTTCCTCACGGTTTCCTCACTCCTGCTGGACTCCATATCTTTATTCTAACTTCTGGCGCTTCACCATCTTCATCCTCAGCTTTTTCAAACCCTAAATAAGGGGGAAGTAGGAATTTCATCTTTCATACTCACTCAACGCAGCCCAATAATGAAAAACACAAAAAATAATCACGGTGACTATAAATATAAACATAGTACTAATATAATATTAACACAATATTAAGATTAAAGTGTAAAATATCAAATGAATATGATATTAACTGTTGCGCCGGTACGGCATGTGGTAAATCTCTTCCCAACCTTGGGCTGTGAAAATGCAGTTTTATTCACCTCGGTTTTTTGCTACGGACCTCGTGCCTACCGGCACTCGGTCCTCCGCACAAAAACCTCGGTGAATAAAACGCATTTTCCCAGCCCCGGTCGGGAATATATATTCCCCATTGATTTATAACAGTGATGTCACGTGACCGACCTGACCTCATGTAACCTTGAAAAATTCCCAGATATACAAGTTGTGAGACCTCTGGAGGACACCATGTATGCGTCCTGTAACTTTCATCTCGGACAGCTATGGTCATTGGCGTCCAAAACAATGTCAGAACCAAACAGCCTTTTTCACCCTCGCGCTTATAGGAAAGAGGGTTGAATGAACCCTCTTTTTACTTTTTTCAGATGACTCAGACTTGAATTGAAATTTCAGTAACCCGTGATGTCACTAGGCAGCTTTACCACGCCATTTGTAAGCTCCCCTCCCGAAATCACTATTCGAAACCGTTATCTTGACGTAAAATAAATACATTTATAGAAAGAACACCTTCCTAATTTTTTGCATACTTTTTAACAATGAGCCAAATATTTTTTTAAAGAAATAAAAATTCAAAAAAATTTGGTCCCAAAGTCCAAAAAATACAAATGAAAGAAAACTCGATATGTCATAGGTATATCAAAAATAGCGTATTTTTCGAAATTTCAAAAATACATATTAATCTCTGTTTCATTGCAAGTTCAATGTTATATAACATTTGGCATTTGAATAATCCGTCTTAGAGTTACAGCCCGCCAAAATTAGCGCTGCAAAGCAAGATACAAAAAATGTTATACACCATAACTCAAAAAGTACCCATCTGATAAGCCTGAAATTGTTACAGGTGGATTCAGAGCCCCTGATTACCCCTGAGACCAATTCTCGTCAAATTCCGAGAGATGAGGGTGTCAAATTGGAAAAAAGTGGTACGATCTATCGTGGAATGCCCCAGCTGTTCGTCGGTTCTTAAACATTAAGTCCGTCTCTTGACCAGCGGCGGACGCTTTTCAATAATTAATGAAATTATATAAAAGTCCGTTTAAAATTGGCTTATTTTACCTGCAAGGGGGGCAAGGGACGTCGTCTATCGGCATTAATTGGAAACCGTTTAAGGTTTTCATCAGACGGTACCTACCCTCCGCATGTCAGTAGGTAAGTACCTACACAGCCTACACCGCGTTACTTACACGCGTAAGTACAGGTCTCGCGGGTTTTAGCGGTAGGTTTTGCACCTATAGAAAATGTAGTGTATCAGGCTATTGATCTTCGTCGTCTTAAGCTTTTAAGTGTTGAAGATGCGATCAACTTGTTGGATAACAAGCCGACCATGATCGTGTAAAATGGCTTCATTGTAGATCGATTAGTTTTTTAGATATAACCGGAAATATACCTAAAAGTGCAGAACCTACCGCTTAATCTCGCGAGAGCCGTACCAATACAGCTTTTAGAAAGTTCGGCTCGATACTGAAGCCTGGCATCAGGCAACACTCCGGGATAACATCTGGTCTTAGCGCCCTCTGCCATTCACACTTAGCGCCTCTCGTATGATGGCGCCACATGTGTATGGAGCTTCTGCGCTCTACCACTACATACATTACATTACCGTACATTACATTACCGATTGCATGGACGATCGTCCGTCTCGTGCGGCATATCACTGGTTCTGAAGTGGCATACCCATCCGTCCTTTTTATCGTCAGAAATAACTCATACATGAACACCACTTCCTAGGCTGGAAAAACGACTGAAACGCAACTGGAAAGGGCGGCTCCACTTGAAACATTCCCAGATGTGACCGTTTAAGCGATCATGGGTGGCTTGTCCCACTTCCCAGCAGGATACGCTTGCCCAATGCCCAGTCAAGACGGGCCAATCGCTGCAGCACGCCAGTGACAAACAAGTTGGTGTTAAACTAAGCCTGAAGCAGCTTGCATTTTCTCTCATCCCATCACCCCAGTGCACTAAAATGGTATAACACTCAACAGACCGAAAGCGCCTTGCCGAAATGGACATATATTTATCATTCCACGTCGCAATACTTATATTACATGTTTATTTAAAAAAGGGTTTTAGACCAGCCTAGCCCTCATGACATCCACCATTACCGCCTTTAAATACTCGGATTTATGCACCGTTTGAAGGCTCTATCCACGCACATTCCATCTAGTTAACGTTATTTACGAACATGTTTGTAGCTCGTAATTGACGGGCTGTTGGCACCAAGTCGAGCGCCCCCAGCCACAAAACATGCCTCGCTTTGATCCGCCCGCTAACGAGCTGTCAAACACCTCGCTTTCAAGAACTAGCCTGGCATCTTGCCGCCTTCCGAGTTCTTTCATCTGACCAGCACGTGTTCCGTCGGTCAGTAGAGAGCCCTCGGGCACCGATCGGGGTCAGAAGGTCAGACTCGACCGCGGTACCTGTCGGCCGGCACTGCAGGACCGCCGTGCCCACGGGCTATTTGCGTCCGCTGAGCCGCCGCGTGCCTGCGGCAGGGGACGCGCGTGCCGCGAGCGGCGACGTACCGTGGCGGCGCCGCTGGCACCAGATCAAAGAGACCGCTGCCGACGCACACACGCACATCTGCGTACCACACGAGCTGCGACACGAGCCGGACAGGAAGTGGGCGCCGAGTGGCCGAGAGCAGTTCTGTCACTGGGGAAACGAGCTGTGCCATCGACAACGAGCCAGCCCAGCATGGAATATATGCTAAGATGGGATCAGGAGAAGTAATTGAAACATGTGGCGGGAAGAAATTATTCCCATCCTTTTTTCTGTAGCCATCGCCATGCAATATAAATAGGTACGAAAATGTAAAACAAATGCGAAATACGTGCAATATCTAGTAAATGGTCCCATGATTCAGACTTCGCTGAACTCTGGACAGTAAAACAGTAAAATGAAAAATCTAACAGTCACAATGAATGGGACCGATTACTTCAACCGCCTGCTCTTTTCTCTTTTCCTCTCAACCGTTGATCTCCTTTTCTCCGAAGTCGCGATTTCATTATTTTCTCAGTACCTATTTCCAAAACCTGCAGCACTCGACCAGCCCGCAGGCGCTGTAAGCTGTCGCCCTGGCGGACCTCAGAAAGTCACACACCTCCATGGCCTGGAGGGCGGCAGCAGGAGGGACATGCGGCCGACGCCGGCGGCCCGGCCCGCCACGCGGCGACACCCGGTTATTTATACACCTCGCGACGCGTCGGCGGCGGCGCGGCGCGGCGCGGCTCGGCGGCGTCCGTAGAGCCCTCTGTTTATACAGTCGAGAGCGGCGGACCGGCGGGCAGACGGCGCCTGTCCTGCTGGACCACCTCGGCAGTCCAGACGGGCCGCGACCGAGCCCCCATCGCGCGTCCGCTGCTCCTCCTCGGCAACAGACCCACGAGCGGTGCGCCGGGGTGAGCGACTGGTGAGGTGGTGATCTTTGCCAGCGCGACCGAGACGCTGCGGCGATGGGTGTGCTGTGGCCGGGACGCCCGCTGGCCCCCGCGGTGGTGCTGCTGCTGGTGATTGGTGTGCACGGGATCCCCAAGAGCGAGTTTTTCCCGTACGGTGCCGAGGTGTATGATGATGTGCTGCCTAAGAAGGACGAGATCTCCAGTCCCGAGCTCAAGTTCACCACGCCGCTGTTGTTCTACAAACAGGAGTACAACGGAGCCTATGTGAGTAGACGCGGACTTCCCTGGCGTGGGAACTTTGTAGTCAGTCTTTTATATAGTCAGTAGATTGTGATACCTTGCAATGCCGACGTGCTTAGTTTGCTTGTTTCTTCGCCATCCATGGAATTAAAACATCAGACCAAAATATGATTTTCTTTTTACCTGAACACTGGCGATTACCACTTCGCATGCCAAAGGCACGCTGCCCGAAGCAGCCTGGCGTCAGAATTGGCCACTGACAGGGACCGAGTGTCTCCTCTTCCGGTCAGGACGGGATCGCTGGCTCTAACGGCACAGCCTATCCTCCAGGCGTATCTGATGACGGTATCGGCGGCACACGGGCACAGCCTATACCCCAGGGCCGGGATGTACCGCTTTATTCTGATACTAGCTGCCGTAGCGGCGGTACAGCCTATCTTCCAAGCGAAACGCTTCATTCTGATATTGACTCGTATCGCGGTACAGCCTAACTTCCAGGCGTACCGGTGTAGGTAAAGACGGCACCGGCAGTACAGCCTACCCTGCAGGCGTACCGCGCCATCCCGTCTGCTGCCATGACACCGATAAAATTCAGAATAGACACGCAGGACTGCGGTCTGCGACAATACGCGGTATAGTCCATTTCTCAGCTATATTGCTCGGTATTGTTCTGACGTCTTTTTGGGCATTTAGAATTGACACCGCGCACTAACTAATGAAGAAATATCAATCAGGACCAAAATAATCAAGTCTTAACCTTAAACATGTAGCTCCCTGTTTGTCCGAAAAGTCTCGGCTTGGGTGGAACAATTATGTAAGGAAGGTCTTGTTCTAAATGGACAGAGTTCACGGTTATATAACACGTGCGAAGCGCCCGTGTGCCGAGTGCCCTGTGCTGCAATTCATTAGGTGTTTGTCTAAATCAAGTTATGCCGAATAAATAACATGAGCATGAACGCCGATTGCCTAGTTCTGGGGATAAAGTATGGAAGCATCTGAGAGAATGTTGAGAACCAATGGTGTGTGACAATGGAAGAACGCAGGATAACATTCAATTATGGCCGTACTAATATTTCTGTTGACTGCCTTTTCAGATAAACAGCAACGGGCTGCTGTCGTTTATGACGGAGCTGCCGAACTTTTATAACGTGCCGTTTCCTCTGGACTACCCGCTGATCGCGCCTCTGTACTCAGACGTGGACACGAGGGGCGCCGGCGACGTCTTCTACAGGTGGGTCCACCATCAAACGGCACAGCACTGACATATCACCCCAACATCAGCACATTACATGGCTCTTTCCTGGGTAGCGAACCTGGCAAACTGACGGATATAGGTAAACCAAAAAGCTATTTTTTCTGTGCAACTTGAACAGTTCCAATTATAAAAATAATAATAGTTTCATCATCGGCATTCGTAGGCCGACCACCCCATAAGCACATCACATGTCCCGTTTATCGTGTATTCATGTCAGTTCCTATTGCACATTCCTCACCAAGTAACGGCCAAGCCGCTTCAATTTGATTGGTTATTCCTCTCGCCAACTATCCAGCTCACCTCAATCCACAGCGTCCCGTGGCTGTATGACCAGTACACCCAAATACGGTCAGATTGGTCTGGTTTGGGAGCCGCTGGCCCTCCCAGGGTGACGGAAATGTTTACATTCTGGCGCTGATCTAAGTGACAACGAGTGCTCAGACAGATTCCAACAACATACCGTGATTGAATGTGCCGCCGCGCCGTCGCGCTGCTGCCATCTGAGTCAGGGTGGTTTACAGCCCTCCCAGCCCGCCGGCTGGTGGGAGACGGACCCGGCAGACACTTCTTATGACGGCGGATGTTAGTACAGGATAAAATACGGAGGCTCATAGATCATGGCCGCTGGAGTGGGGAATTCGGTCACTGGAACGGTGGCTGGCCTAGCGCGGTGGGTCTGTGCGTGCCTGGCGAGATCTGCCGCCTAGCGCTGTTGGACAAAAGGTCATATCAGATACTTCAGAGCAATCGTTATCCGAAGAGAAAGGAATGTAACGATGCCCTTGAAACTGCAGTGCAAAAGTACAACTCGACTGTCGGATGGCAGCTTTAATATGATACCATTGGTGATTGGCTGATGCGAAACTTTATCGTTACAAATAAGGTGGATTGGATAAATCAAGTGCACTTCATTCCATATGCAAAAAGGGACAGAACATAAGAAGGGTAAAACAGGAGGTAGCAGTTTCGACGTTTAGGTAGGTATGTTTAAAGTCAGCCAGGATAGAGCATGGACAACAAACGTCGCATTTCAGTGACCAGTATCGTCTTTATTCCGACTGTTAACGTTTATATTCCGTTCCGGTTCAATGCGCGAATCCAGAGGTAGACGGAACCGTCTCCAGAGAGCTGGTGAAGTACCTTCCATCGCAGATCGGGTACTTTTCCTGTCAAGAGCCCTGGCCCCTGGAATGTGAACACCATGCACTGACACTGATATGTCTATATAACTGGTCCATGTATCGAACACCTCTGGCCTCTGGGTAATCCTATCCTCTTTAGGTAAACGCATTTATCGTTATCATTTACATAAGTGCAACGTTGCTATGTATGTTAGAGTAGCCTTTTCAGAAAACTATGAGTGTATCATCGCTTCACACATAAATGCAAGAGTACCTATTTGTAAAATGGGCATTGGACCTGCCCTGACAATCTTGTCGATAATCCAGCAGAATGCATAGTTACCAAATTAGTATGCTTTAGCCCTGCGTGTCGGTTCCTGTCACACTCTAGCTGTCACATCTCGTAGCCGGGCACTCCGAGCGCCTGGGACAGCTGCACGCACGCGCCTTCATTATAACCTCCTGACATCTAGCGGTCACATCTCGTAGCCGGGCACTCCGAGCGCCTGGGACAGCTGCACGCACGCGCCTTCATTATAACCTCCTGACATCCAGCGGTCACATCTCGTAGCCGGGCACTCCGAGCGCCTGGGACAGCTGCACTGACGCCTTCATTATAACCGCCTGGCACTGCTGGACCCGCAGCCGGGTCGCTCCCCGCTTCCTCTCCCCCTCGGTGGCCAGTCGGCGCACCAGAGAGCACACCAGCACACACGGCGACACGATACTCATACAGGCGCTGAAGAGGTCGTGCAGGGCGTCCCGGGCCGGCTCGGTCAGCCGCGCCGGGCGGCCGGTCAGAGAGCTGTCCTGGGTGGCAAACACCACCAGGGAGTTGCAGGCGGCCACCAGGCTCTCGGCGAAGAGGTGGCAGGCCGGCAGACTGCCGCGGTCGGTAGTCGGACCGACAGAGAGGTTACCGTTCCTGTCCCCGTCGGTATGTTCGCTGATGCTGCCGTCATCTTCACAAGAGGAGGCCGATAGTTTAGCACTGGCCTGAAAAGCCTCCAGTGCCGCGCTGGCGGCCCGACCACCCTGCAGCAGTAGCTGGCGCGTGCAGGGGTGGTCGACCCGCTGGGCGGCGGCGGTGCAGGCCTCGATGAGGCTGACGGCGCTCTCGCTGGTGACTGAGCACAGTTCGGAGAGCAACGAGGCTGGCATTGAGGAGTGAGAGTACAGCTTCAGAATGGAGCACCTGCGGCAGAACGGGAAATGAAAATTAATAAATAGTTTGATCACATTCATTGGATTGAGTGGCGTCCAACATGAAGACGGGTGATGCTTGCCATTACCGAAAATGGGCACGACTAAATAGTTTCCTGCTTCCAGGTTTTAATAAGGCGACCAAAGAGCGTTGAAAACCCAAATAAGTCTAATGGAAACCGCATCTAGTGAAATTTCGGTAGAAGCTCTTGAAACTGCCCAATTTGCCCATATGCGGCCCGAACTTCACGTTCCCTATATCGAGTGCGGCACACGTGGATCCACGTACCCGGTGTCCACCTCGGCGGCGGCGCGGCACAGCTGGTACCGGTCCACAGGTCCCTGGAGCGCCGGCGCGCAGCCGGGCAGCGCCACAGCTGCCAGGTATCCGGCCTCTGCGCAGCTCTCGGTCAGCGCCACGCCGAGCTCCCCAAGCTGCGCCAGCGCCTGTGTCACCCGGTCGGCGTGCCCGGCACCGGCCTGCAGCAGCGCCGCGATGTCCCTGGCCACCAGGTAGAGGGCCCGCGCGCGGCCGGCCGCCGCGTCCCGGCAGCGCGGCAGCGGCGGACCGCCGCCGGCACCGCTGACCGGCCGCGCGTCGCTGGTGAGCAGCAGCAGGTCGGCGGCGGTCTGTAGCCGGCGCTCCACGGCGTCACAGGCGGCCGCCAGCCGGGTGCCGGCCGCGCCGGAGGGCAGCGCAGCCGGCGGGGAGCGGCAGCCCGTCCCGGAGCCGGGAGCCATCCGCAGCAGCGAGAGGACCACCGCGTTACCCACCGTGACGCCGGCCGGACCCTGTGAGGACGGGAAACAACTTCACCGTGGCGCCGGCCAGACCCTGTGGAGACGGGAAACAACTTCACCGTGGCGCCGGCCGGACCCTGTGAGGACGGGAAACAACTTCACCGCGACGCCAGCGAAGTCTGTACAGAAAAAAAAATGAGAAGAGAGTGACGAAATCTCTAGTTTCCTGACTGCATTTGGATGCATTTGTATCAACAAGATTTGGCATTTCCAGTGTATGAGCGCCGATGACGTTATGGTACGTCACGCCAGCTGACTGCGGACGTGACGTGGCGATGATCTGGTTTACCCCAGCCGTGACGACCCCGGCCGTTCAACCGTTTGTGACAGTCATGTCATGCGGATGGCCCGCTGACACGAAACACGACCGAAAGCTGTTTCGCAACTAGCTTGAGATTGTGCGAACTTGAATGAAATAGACGGCGCGTTTCAACGATAGAGGTGCGAATGTAACAGTCACCAGTATAGCTCGGACAGAGGTTATGGATAAGTGTGTCGTAAGTTATATCAATTTTACAGCATTCACATAACTGATCGTACCTAGTAAATGCATTTGAAACGTAGCCGCACAGATGCACCAGATGGAAATATAAATGAGACATAAGCAAAAAAAAAAAAAAGAGTTGAACAAAAATATGCTTACTGATCACTGCTGAATGTCTCTTGGCTTCCTGCACTAAATCTTGTCACATTTGGTAAATCAGCTCGCTTTATTCTTCGAAGAAAATATCGATGACGGCCCTGTCTTCACATGCCACTCTGAGCTTGGTTAGTGAGATACCAACTGACCAAGTCGACACTTCTGATCGTTCCAAAAAGCACCCAATTCTCACGTACTTTTAAGATCAGAAAGCAGGGTAAGATTACACACTGGTACGCTTTTTGAACGGGTCTCTGAAGTTGAACTAAAGCTGCCGCTGCACCGCGATCCATCCACCCTCACACACAGCACGGAACTGGACAGAGGTTGACCCCACCCCGCCAACAGAGAGGTGTGTTGCCGGGAATACGTGACGGGTCCGCGCCCCACCCTACCCCGCCCCGTCCCCGTCCCGTCCCCGCCGGCACCCAACCGTGACCTGGGCGGGTGGACTGCTGCCACGCCCGCCCCATCCCGTCCGGCCCGGCCGGCAGCCGCCATCCCCGGCCGCCCAGCCGATGGTCGTCACTTGTCAGCTAAACCCGAATGAATAGTTGATTATCACCGTGGATACTCCCCATGTAGATCTTCCCACATAGCTTCCCATAGCTAGAGATCCGTTGATTGATTCGTTTAGGATGTCGCATTGCCGCATTGTTACATATTTCCGAATGCTTGTGAACAGCAATGCGTTAGTGCTGATGTATGTATAGAGGACCGACGGGAACAAAGCGGAGGATAGTGTCATTGGCCGGTGTCAGTTCGTCAGCCGGACCGGACTGCGGGGAAAACAATACGTTCACTGCTAGTGCAATGACCGACGAATGCCGGGCGGAAACGTAACGCATTGCGAAGCCCTAATGATTGAGCGCAAACCAGCAAATACACCTCAATAAATGCATCCTAAGCTTCCCTTGACTTCAATAAATTCGTGCGCAAGTACTAATTGGCTCGAATAGTTGAGTTGGCCCTGACCAAATTTGGCAGCTGTGACCTCCATCCGGCGCGCTCCAGCAGATGGCAGTTTAGTGTGAACCCGTGTGTGACCCCTACCCATGAACTGTGGCCATGTGGACTGGCTGGTGCAGCGGTATTGGTGAATCATCACAAATGTTACCGGTTGGTGTAAACACGACGCGACCGCGGAGCGGGATTTCGAAATGAGTCCGCATCCTTGGTCCTAATCGATAAACAAACGATTGGCATCTATCGGTTAGTGAAGGTAAGGGTATTAAACCTTGCTTGGATGATGAACACGACCAAATAGAAAGACATGATCTACGATACCGTTTATCATAAAAAACACTGTAAATAAATCCGAGTTATCAATCCGTACCATTAGGTCACAGACCACACCACCGCGATGCTCTCTCATTGTGAAATAGAGCCCCAGATGTCACTGGCGCCACGTTCAATAAGTTACGCCGTGTCACAGACGACGGCTCCCCCGTCACACAGTGTAACAACGTTTCCCTTCTACTCCACAGGGTCACAGTTTTGCCTGTAACACAGCGTAACAGCGTTCATCTCTGCGCCTCAGGGTCACAGTTTTGCCCGTAACACAGTGTAACAGCGTTCCTCTTTGCACCACAGGTTCACAGTTTTCCCTGTCACACAGTGTATCAGCGTTCCTCTCTGCACCGCAGGGTAACGTACGAAGAGGACGAGCTGCGTCGGTTCGACGAGCGGATAGCGCGCTATTTCAGCGGCGGGGCTAGCTTCCAGAGCCAGGAGCTGCTGGTGGCCACCTGGGACGGCGTCGGCTACTATAACTCCAGGGCGGACAAGGTGGGGTTGAAAACTAGCTGACATTTATGTGTGAGCTGTGGATGGGTTGTTAATCTTATCCGAATATCAATTCCAGCAGCAAAGTTAGCAGATATGGACCCTAACATTGGCGTACGTACGAAGTAACTCGTGACAAGGACCAGCCACATAGCCCATTTTCAACTTCTTGCAACGATCTTGTCTGACCGTTACCGCCGCGCCGCCGCAGACCAACACGTTCCAGCTGGTGCTGGGCTGGAACGGTCGCGAGACGTTTGTCCAGTTCCTGTACGCTGACGACGGTATCCAGTGGATCGCTGGGGAGGGGAAGACGGCACACCACAAGGATGCGCGCGGCCAGGCGGGCCTCATCAGCGGCGACGGACGGTACACGGAGCTGCGACACTCGGGAACCGACCAGGTCCGGCATCTGGACAGGTCAGTGATGGGTCAGATACCCCTGGGCAGGTCAGTGACAGGTCAGATACCCCTGGGCAGGCCAGGGACAGGTTAGATACCCCTGGATAGGTCAGTGATGGGTCAGACACCCCTGGACAGGTCAGTGACAGGTCAGATAGCCCTGGACAGTGGACAGGTCAGTGAAAGGTCAGAAACCCCTGTACAGGTCAGTACAGGTCCGTGGCAGGTCAGTGACAGGTCCGTGGCAGGTCAGCGGGAGGCCGTTCAGTGACCGGAACAAAGGCCATGTCTTTTTTTCTGGAATGAGCCCTCATTGACCAAACTTCGCTCTTGATTTCTTTTCCAGGTTGTCCAACTGCCAAGAGGCGGGAGTCTACATTTACAGGATCGGAAGAATTGAAGGAAATAAATTGGATGAACCCGACATCAATGTTGGATCCGGTCCAGGTAAGGTGAATGAAGTGATTTAGCAATGACCTGTTACAGGCTTATTTTTATGAAGGAATGGAAAAATAAATAGCGTTGATTCATTTTCACCGGCTGCATCGTACTTAATGCTTATGTCGAGGTCTATAAGTATATTATATACATACTGAATCTTCGAAATTAGTTATTAACAATCATATACCACTATAACAACATCGTGGCTAGAGACTAATCAATACCCCTAATTTCACTCACCAACCTCACTCAGTCCACTGTTCACCACCGTAGGTCCCCGCTGCTCTGCCAGTCTCTCCCACGTGCTGGCACCCACTCGACAAGCCCATGAGCCATGTCATGAACCGACCCATCCTGCCCCTCCCGACCCACCCCTCCTCGCCGGGACCCCACTGGGCGGGGCCCGACATGGCGCACTATTTATTTTCCATGTCGGACTGGGCCGGCGGTCACTAATGGTCGAGCTGGCACCGACGCCGGTCCGCGCCGTCACGGGTCACGGCCGGGACGGAACATACTCGGTCACAGCGCACCTACTCATGTGTGAGACACACTGAACGCACACGGACACGCCCTCTTTCTCTCTGAGCTCTCGCTTGATTTTCTGGCTTACACTGTATACGCACTGGTTAGAATTAATGAATAACACTCTCATCACCAGGCCACAAAACATAGATGAGCTTCATTACATCGTAAAGACCTAGACACTTCCGGGTATTAGCAATAGCCTTTGCTAGCCAGTGACCATGTTTATGTTACATGAGTCAGACGTCTCGTCCTCTCTAGACCATACTCAGTCGGTGAGCTCATCTTTAAACTCACACTTACCACACGACCCCTGGCCCGGGCCGGTGGTCGAAATATCCACACTAATACAGGCTCGATTTACAAAGACCGGGACCTAACCTTGCGTGGTTGACTGTGTGGTGTGTATTGAAAGACAACAAACATGAAGACTTGAGCAGAGTGTCTGGTAACAGCCAGTGTTTCCCCCGCAGCCAGTCTGGAGCAGTCGGCCACGTGCGCCACGGGAAGCATCACGTGCCACTCGGAGGCCACGTGCCACGACCACGAGGACGGATTCTGCTGCGTCTGTAACGCCGGCTTCTACGGCAACGGAAAAAGCTGTCTGACGCGGGGTGAGAACTGAGTAGGACTTACATTAATTTGACATTTAGAAATAAATATAGCCACTAGCCAGTCGTATACTAGTATCATATTCGTGACGTTTTGATCATGTGGCTAAACTATTCATAACCGTGTCACGACTTTGATCGGGTAGTAAAATACTCCCTGACGGGATTCGAACCCGCAACCTTTCCCTTCCTCGCCGCCAGACGAGCCGCTGCGTATCATGGGCGATGTGTTCGGCACGCTGAACGGCTTCACCATCGACGGCCAGCAGCTGCAGGCGTACGCGGTCGTCTCGGACGGCCGGTCCTACACCAGCGTGGCCAAGGTGGTGGCCGAGCTGGGTTACGACTTCCAGACCCTGATGCCAGTCAGCGACATCGTGGGCTGGATGTTCGCCAAGCCCGCCACCGGCGTCCGAAACGGATTCCAGATGACCGGTGAGGAATTAAAAATAACTTCGGAGCGAGAATTACAGTGGTGCCGGTGCGATTATCTTACGGATGCCATTGACAATTGCGCTAAAGATCGTAGAGGAACGACAGCCTGCTAAAAAGCTTACTTTCCTTGTTCTTGGAATTCGAATGATTCACTTCATGCTGGATCGTAAATGACAAGGCAGCCATCTGCAAGCACTCGATAACCCCTGAATGTGCCGCCATTCTGCAATGACTCTGCAAACTGTCTCTGCCGCCGTTCTGCATTGACTCCGCACTGACTGCTGACTTCCTTCCTTTCAGGCGGTGTGGCCAATGCCACGATCGACGTGGACTTCCCTCAGACGGGCCACCACGTGGTGCTACAGCAGGACTTTGGCGGCCTGAACGTGTTCAACCACCTCAGCGTGGAGACGCGTCTGAACGGCGCGGTGCCGGCCATCGCCTTCGGAGAGAAGGTGGAGATGGACGGCTACACCAACACCGTCGTCAGGATCGGCAGAGGTCAGTGGAGCGTAGAGACGTCGTCAACGCGGTCCCTTAGTGACATCGGAGCCCAAAAAGTTGGATTTTGCTCTATATCTTGGTGCTACTGATCATTGAGTCCATCGCCCAACATAATCAATGTCACATCGCTTACCTATCGCGACTCGCAATTTCGCCTCCTGAACATGTGACACCCTACATCGCTATCTCTTCGACTCATAACGCACCGCACTGCTGTCTCTTTGGGTTTAAGTAAACACTTTCTGGACCTCCACCTCACTGACCTCTGCAACCGTGTCCCTCCCCTCTCCCCGACCTGCACCCCTTCGCCCCTCTGCCCCGCACTGACCTCTGTTACCGCGCCCCTCTCCCTTCACTGACCCATACCATCGAGCCCCGCTCCTTCACTGACCTCTGACTCTGCGTCCCTCTGCTCCAGGTCGTCTGAGGATCACCTCTCAGCGTCAGTTCCGCCAGGCGGGGAACGCCATCAGCATCCCGATGAACCTGGAGGCAGAGGTGCAGTTCGACGAGTGTCCCTGGCAGCCGGAGCAGGAGGAACTCAACCAGCTCAGACACATCGTGAGTCGGCCTGAGTTGGTCTCACGGAGGAGGGAGGGGGAGGGATCGACTGCGCAGCAAAGAAGTAGCCGGTCAGATGAGGGAGGAACAGACTGGGAAGCCTCGGCACTGATGAGTAACTAATGTATTTGAATTTCACCTATGATATTTACTTATATTCGTTGGCAGGTTGATCGGAACTTCATCGTCTACGAAGAACCGGAGCAGATTGTACGTTTCGCCAGCTCAAACAATATCGAGGCGATATCAGGTAAGGTTGAGATTTTAAAGCTACGAAGCATTACACAATAATCAAATAGTTTGAATAGATTTGAATATATTGTTATACGGAGTCCTTTAGCAATTCACTCCGCAATCTAGCCAGCTATAATCAGTGCATGTATCTAAAGAGCAAAGACACATGAGTTCCGTGAACCCCTTCCCTTCGACAGACGAGAGTCCGTGTAAGGACGCGGAGAGGAAGTGCGGCCCCAACTCTGTCTGCACGCCGGAGGGACACAGCGGCTACCGGTGTGACTGCCGACCCGGGTGAGTGTAGCTGAAACAACAGGATATCTACGAGCACTGCTGCATGACATATGGAGGTGCAGCTTTTTGAAGAAAAAAAAAACATGACCATACCAATAGGCAATAGACGACCGCTTCTTGAAGGAAATGTCTGTCAATTTACAACTTTTTTGTAATTAACCTTTACCTCATGTTACTGTGTATGATACATATGTAGACAGGTACGAAATATTCCTTTCACACACGACAATCAGCTATTGAAAACACCGTAATGCAAATCCCAGCGTCAGACTTCCCTCAGCCCTCGCTCATCCAACGCCTCCACCCATGTCCCGCAGGTTCACGTACGAGTACCGCGAGGGTCCGTCGGACGTGCCGCCGGAGGAGCTGCGGATCTGTGTCGACATCGACGAGTGCCGTCAGGGCGAGGACAACTGTCACGAGCACGCCATGTGCACTAACGAGTTCGGCAGCTACTCCTGTCTCTGCATGCCCGACTACACCGGCAACGGACAGAACTGCGAGAGTGAGTCGGGCGGGGAATAGTAGGAAAGGAATCGCAGAGAAAGGGTAGGTCTCGTCAACGGATTTTGGTCTTCTCGAATAAGAAATTGCTCCTGGTTTGGCAAGTAAATGCCGAATTTTCAAAACCATTGCCAAGAGAACATTTGTAGACAATTTGGATACCGAATATATAAAACGCTCGAACTGACCTGACTTCCAGTGCCTGAACAGTAAACCGTCAACACTGACCAACCCGGGCCCCGGTGCTTGTCCAATGTCCAATGATCACCGCTGGTGTCTCCCGTCTCGCTTATGACCCCCCACCCCCGCAGAGTTGCTGAGCTGCGCGGACCTCACGTGCGGCGAGAACGCCGCCTGCTACGAGTACAGCCGCGGCAGTCCGGTGTGCGAGTGCGACATCGGCTTCACCGGAGACGGCACCCACTGCGAGGAGGTGGTGACCCCGGCACCATCCGGAGCGCCAGGTGAGGGGGACGATAGAGGGAGGGGAGGGAAAGGAGGGACCCCGGCGCCCTCCCGAGCGCCATGGAGGGAGGGAAGCTGAGCCTGGCAGCGGGGAAACCAGCTCCGGGAAAAAGCAAAGGCGAATCAAACGGTATATAACAATGAGTCGAAAAATGCCTAATTGTGATTCATTGGCTCCAACAATCCATGCACTACGCTCGGTGCTAAAATCTTGCTTGGAGGGCATTGGTGCTACTCGGATTGTAATGCAATCTGGTAAGTACTTAATGCTAAATGGCTCCAAAGTCCAATCTATACAAACATTCCATGCTTCGGGGTACTCGTATGTAACCAGCCTCCTGACGCACGGCAATGACCCGCATGACTCAGAGCGATACCGTGTTGAGAACATGACGGTCCACCGGCCGTCGCTATCGCTGTCCGCAGATAGGGTGTCTATCGCTCTATCTAATGCTTACGCTGCTATCTGACCACGAGTACAGCGCACATACCTGCTCTGGGGCTGAGGCTGTCGGCTGAATCACTCACTACTGCCTGGCTTATGCTGATGTTATGGCTAAAAATGTGCGGATGCTGAGCGTTGAATGCATTGTGTTGTTTTTCACTACTGTGTTTTAAGTGTGCTCGGTACAATGCACACCGGTTAGAGCATTTCTAACTAATTTTTGCAGTAACAATCTAGGTTAGAAGTGCAGCACTCCCGTCATTTCTTCTCCCAAAATATTTCACGTTTAAATCACCCGCTGAGGTGAGTTGACTGACGGAAGTAAGCTGTAGCTCTGCGGAGGGTGACCTGGGGTGAGCTGGGGTGAGTCAGCGGCCCCTGACCGCCGCCACAGACGCGTCCTGTCGCAGCTCGTCCGACTGCGGTCTGAACGCCGAATGTCAGTTCAGCGAGTGGCAGCAGCGCGCGCTCTGTGTCTGCGCTCCCGGCTACACGGCCCAGGCCAACCGCTGTGTGGCCACCGGTGAGCGGCAACGCAGAGATATATAGAACAGATAACTGGACACATCAGTAGAAACTAGACCTGAACTAATCAGCCAGCAAACAATTACAATAGATGACAGAAATATACAATAGACAATAGATAGTAGACAGTAATGGAACACAAATTTTAGATATGCAGCTTAGATTACGGTTGTGTGATGCTTCTACATTGATGTAGAAGCATCACACAGAAGCATAGGTTGTACTAGGGTTACCCGCGTGCTCCGCAACGCTAAGGGGGGATTTTTTTGACCCGTGGGTTGGTCTGTGTCGATTTGGTTGGTAAATATCCATTTCGTTCGATTGCTTTTTGACGGCCAAGCATTTTGTAAGAAAACAAAAAGATACATCGCATCGAGGTGCCCGTGTCGTATTATCATGCGTTCTACTTTAGAATGATTCGAAAACTGGCGTGAAGTCTTTTGAGGGCCATCGATGAATTTCGCTAAAAATGACAATGTAATGGTTTGGAACATTTACATTTTTAAGGATACTGTTGCTAATTATGCAAAAATGAAGAGTGAATATTGGACAGAATTGAATGCTCTATCCAATGGTACCATATTCAATTGCCAAAGGTATCAGGTTATGCAGCAAACCCCGTGTGATTAATAAAGTGGCACAAAATTGACAAACACCATTTTCTCCTGTGATTTGCACCACCTTGATTTGGATCAATCAGCTTTTCATAATTTTTATATGAGAGGCGGTACCTTTCTCTTGCAAATAGGCGTTGATTCAACTCGCTCCATTTAACGGTCACCTAAAAATAAAATTAATTCAAAATCCCTCAAAAACCGCAATTTTTCAAATAAAAGTGCCCTCTCCGGTGCACGTGGCGCGTACTATCCTCTGCATTGCACACCATTCAATAGCCCGTTCAATTCTGTACACGATGCTGTTTTTCCCGTGCCGGTCGGATCCCTGGTCACCAAGATATTGCACGGGAACTGGACCCGTGTCGGCCAAAATTAGCCATTTTCGCCCGATTTCGCACGCCGATTTATACATGTAAAGTCTATGACGCGAATTTGCACTTTTTGAGCACGCACCACGCGCTCCCTATCGACCCGATCGAGCTGAGACCCCTCAAAGGCACGTCGCGCATCCTTGATCTATGAGTTGTGCAAATTTCACCGGGCTAGGTGCAACGGTCTGGCCTGTAGTCCACGCAAAGCACGACCAAGTCGGGACCTCGGTAACGGACAGACGCACCCTCCTCAAATAGTAATATAGACAAGCGGCTGCGCCACTTGCTTTGCTGCGTGGTAGTAAAAAATTGCGGCACCAGCCAATTTGCTTTCGAATGGTGTTCGTTTCAAATCGATGTGTCGTCTAAAAGCATAGATATGGACGGAAATGTGAACGGAATTAAAAAAGAACTGTTCTGAGGGCTTTGTTGGATGAAATTTGGCTGATATGGGGTCAAGACGGGTCAAAGGGGTCAGCCCCGGTCAATTTGGGTCAGGCAAGGTCACAAAGGTCACCTCTCGTCCGATGGAATCAGCCCGGGCCACTGTTCTACTTTTGCCTCCACCACTACCCCTATCCCTACCCCTATCCCTACCACTACCCCTACCACTACCACTACCCCTACCACTACCCCTACTACTACCCCTACTACTACCCCTACTACTACCCCTACCACTACTACTACTACCCCTACCACTACCCCTACCACTACCCCTACTACTACCCCTACTACTACCCCTACTACTACCCCTACCACTACTACTACTACCCCTACTACTACCCCTACCACTACCACTACCCCTACCACTACCACTACCCCTACCACTACCCCTACCCTAACCCTACTACTACCCCTACCACTACCACTACCCCTACCCCTACCCCTACCACTACCACTACCCTACCTCTACCACTACCCCTACCACTACCCCTACCCCTACCCCTACCCCTACCAACACCGCTGGGTCATGTCAGGTCACAGAATAATTGGATCCAATCAGTACTAAAGTATTAGACTTAAAGTGTTCCCAGCCCTGTTCCTATTCGTGCAATTCCATTACCCTTAATCGAATTTGTCGGAAATGGCGCTTTGTGGCAAACGTGGCGCATTGCGGCAAACGCGGCGCATCTGAACCTGTTGGTTGAGCATGCATCCTGGCACCAAATTGTACCCACATCGGACCATATTTGACAAAACTGTGCGATTTGCGGCAAAAATGACGCCCTCAGATAATTGTGACGCATTGCGGCAAACGCGGTGCATTTGTAAACTCGTATCACAAATTGTTCCCATTGAACGAAAATCAACACATTCTCTCGCCACTTTTTATTCAAATTAAAACTTGCCCCTCCGCCAATGCGAGGCACCCGCCACCGATCGGCATGCATTTAGTCCACAAAGTTTGTCGACCCCGGCTCTCAATGAAGATATACGAACCGATGAAAATTTCATTGGCGTTCTTCCAGCGCGCCCCACGCGCGAACCGTGCACCCCAGCGAGTCGGAACCTAGAAATGGCGCTGACCCGTTCTGTCACCTAGAAGGTGTGCAAATTTCAACTTCCTACGACTTACCGTCTGCCCTGTAGGCGAGGTTAATTGAACCCACTACACGATGTGCGGACACACAGACTCACAGACTCACAGACGGATTCTGTTAGAATAGTAAGTTAGATGATGTAGAAGTGACTTCGATTGGTTTCAAAAGAGGTGCCTAGGTAAGATATACGCCCTCTAAATTTTATTTTCGGAATATTTCTCGCAAAAAGTAGCTTATGTTAAGTTGACATGCCAAATTATGTCAATATTTGAGACCTTTAATGCTTATTTCCCTCCAATAGTTGAAGTTACCAAGTTCTTTCTGTTTATTCTTCTTAGCATGCCGAACATTAACAAATTCAATGATTTCTTGCCATGGAATCATGTGTTGTTTATTCCGCTTGTTACCTGTAGAATGTAGATTGCATTTTACAAATACGTGAAATGTAGATGCAGTGTAGATAGATAAAAGCATGAGTTGTACTGATATGCATGTAGATGTAATGTAATATTATTCTTAGGCCTAACTACATAGGGAGGAACGATCATCCCAAAAAGATAAGGCGGATACAATCGCGACTACTATCATACCACAATTCGTTCTTTCCTAAAACTATCCGAGAATGGAACCAACTTGATGTAAATTTAGCCGCAATAGAGACGCTTTCTGACTTCAAAGCGATGTTGTAATGTGTGTACTTGTAGTGTATAATGTTGTGTTCGATGTGTATTTGAAAGAGGAGACTCATGCTACGACCAATCCAGACGAATCGAATTTAGTACGATCCGCCGACCATCACCAGGACCTACCAATGGTATTTGTGATGTTTTTCTATGAATACAATGAATACAATGTAGATATTTCCTGCTTTGTGATTAGCGATCGAAATCTTCATCAGCGCGGTACAAACCATTCAGCATGGAAACCTTTTGGATCTAAAGGCACACAGTTAAATTGGTAGACCTCCAAACTGATAAATTGATAGACCTCCACAATACCTAGAGTGTTGTTAATTAGCGTGGTTCACATTCATGCACATTTTTGCATTTTCATTATTGATAAACGTTCATCGTGACGCCTCATTAGCTCGTTGTTACACAGCACACTGCTCTGCCCCCCCCCCCCCGTCACCGCTTCACCACCCCTCCCTCCCGGTTGGCCGGCCCCAGACACGACTCCGGGACCGTGTGGCGACTTTTTCTGCCACTCTCACGCCTCGTGTGTGGAGGTGGAGCTCGGCAGACCGGGCTGCGTGTGCGACCCGGGCTTCTACGGCAACGGACTCGAGTGTCGCGCCGCCGAGCAGCAGGGCAACCGTGAGTGACGGGAGTAGAGAAAGACTGAGGGAATCGTGATTAGGTAGAATGGACAGGTCGTCAGCAGACCAACGATAATGCATTTGGAGCGGCGAGAGGGTTGATATGTCGCAAGTTGTGTGGGGCGTATTTATGTGTGGGTAAAGTGAGAAAACTACGTCACCCTGCCTACATTATAAATATGACCTACGGTCACAATGTGTGAATGTAATCAGAGGGAAATTATATTCTAGGCAACAAAATACAGAACAAATCAATGACAACAGCGACGAAATATGACATGAACAGCGAGCTTTAACATTAATGATGTTGACAGACATATTTCTCTTCTCCAGTATGCCAGTCGGCCAACGACTGCGGGCCTAACGCCGAGTGCATCTTCGCCGACTGGGCCGGAGGCAACGTGTGCGTCTGCCTGCAGGGCTACTTCGGCGACGGCATGCGCTGCGTGGTGGCCACACCGCTGGCCGTGCTCTGCGGCGGTGAGTAAGGACGGGGAGAGGGGAATAAATCCTCCAATCTTCATCTCTTTCGGTCGATTGGTAACTGCATGTTTGAGTCCAGCCAAGGCGCAGTAGTTACACTCCAAATTGTAAATGAAAATGAGCAAGACTAGGAGCAAGAAGATAATAAAAGCATTATCAAATGCTGGTATAAAACACGCCTTCCTATATACAACTCCCTCGGTACATGCATTCGCCGCCGCAACGGAAAGGAATCAGCATAAGCCGTCACCCTATGCTAGTTCTCCCGCTGCACCATAGATGGCGCTGGTAGTCGACGCCTGCAGGTAGGCTGTACCGCAAAGCTCCACACCTGTATGTAGGCTGCGCCGCAAGGCTCCCTACAGTCCGGCGAATGCGTGGCGTTGAGGCAAAGTAGAGCTGATAAAAAGGAATATTTGGATGCTGGAAAACTACGCTACTTAGACAAAATATGCATATGGTTTACAAGTATCACAAGCAATGACCAATGATATCTGATGTCATTGCTATCTCTGCGTGTTTTCTCCAGGTGTCGAGTGCCACCCGGCGGCCGAATGTGTGGAGCTCGAGGGAGTACCGCAGTGTGTCTGTAACGCCGGACTCCAGGGAGACGGCTACACCGTCTGCAAGACGCAGCCCGTCGAAAAGCGTGAGTGCGGGAGTCGGGCCCACCCAATGGGCTGCAAATGTAATTGAACGGTCACTCAATATGATTGGTGTCTGGTGATGCTCTTTTGAGCTAAGCGGATATAATATTTCAATTCAAGTGGATACTTTTTGAAATCGCCTATCAATGGACAATGCATTTTGATGGTATTGTGAAATAAGAAAAAATATAATCACAGTACCTACTGTACGTACATAAATATATGGGGCGACCTCAGTTCGTGTTGTGTAGTGTAGTTAAAGCGTTGGCACTGACAATTCGTCCCGCCGCCCGCCCGCAGGTTGTGACACGTTCGCCGACTGCGGCCCCAATGCCGAGTGCGACTTTGCCGACTGGCTGGGCGCCAACATCTGCTTCTGCAGGGCGGGCTTCTTCGGCGACGGCGTCAACTGCTCCGTGGCCACCACGGTCGCAGTGCTCTGCAGAGGTACGCGCACGACGGGGGACGGATAGCGGACCAATGCAGATTTGTGAGTGAGTGATAGAATAAAATGGAGTCGTTGATCATTGAATGAAAAGAATGGATGAAGTGGATATTGCCCGATCACTTTGAAAGTGACTGTCTCCTTACATCCACTCTTTTAACGGAAAACATATTCAGTCATGGACCTATAAAACCGTTTCGAATAGACCATCTGGATTCTGGGACCAGTGTCTGTGACCAATCCTCTCTGTCGCCGCCGGCAGACGTGACCTGTCACGAGCACGCCGAGTGTCTCGAGTACGAGGTCAACAACCCGCAGTGCGTCTGCAATGTGGGCTACATCGGCGACGGCGTCAACTGCGAGGCCGCCCCGGAGGACATCCGTGAGTTGGAACTGCCATTCGGGATTCTTATTCTTTAAGGTTAGGAGGCTAAAGCGGCATAGGGCTCTTAATCAATAGTCCTCAGACTTAAAGGAAACATTAAGTCCACTACCATGAAGTCCGCTATAATACACCTCGCCTCGCTAGCCGTTCTAAACTGCAATTCCGTTTCTCAGTCGACTACAATTCATACTGTATGGCTCTGTTTGGTGACCCCTGCCCTCCCCAATCTCCACAACGCTTGAGACAGACGCACAGTGTATGACTTTGTTTGACCTCTGTTGACCTATGCTGATCGCTGCCTTGCTCCCCACAGCCTGTGAGACGGACGCCCAGTATGACTCTGTATGACCTCTCGGTGACCTCTGACCTCAGACCGCTGCCTTGCTCCCCACAGCCTGTGAGACGGACGCCCAGTATGACTCTGTATGACCTCTCGGTGACCTCTGACCTCTGACCGCTGCCTTGCTCCCCACAGCGTGTGAGACGGACGCCCAGTATGACTCTGTATGACCTCTCGGTGACCTCTGACCTCTGACCGCTGCCTTGCTCCCCACGGCGCGTGAGGCGGACGCCCAGTATGACTCTGTATGACCTCTCGGTGACCTCTGACCTCTGACCGCTGCCTTGCTCCCCGCAGCCTGTGAAACGGACGCCCAGTGCGGCGCCCACTCCACCTGCGTGTACGCCCCGTGGGTGGACCGCTACGTGTGTCTCTGTGACCAGGAGTACGTCAGGGAGGGCGGCCAGTGCGTGTTCGTCGGCCCCATTGTCGACCCCCTCCCAGGTGAGGTGGAGGGCGGGTCCGAGGGTGTCTCCAATATCCAGCCTTTGAGCATCAATATGTGTACTTAACACCTTATGCAAAAAGTTGCAGGTTTATATACCTTCACGCGTTTCATACGTGTTGTGTCGAGAATTAGGGTGAAAACTGGTGTCTCTCTGCATAGCACAATACTTTGTTTAATGCTGGATGACTACAGAACACGTTTGGTATAAAAAAGTGCTCTCTAGACTTTTTTCTGACGACTTTTGACCCTGACCTTGTGACCTTTGACACTGTTCGCACTGTCGATCCGCTGCCCGCAGGAATGGGTGGCTGTCTGCAAGACTCGGATTGTGCCGTCGGAGAGATCTGTGACTACGAGGTGGCGACGGGTCTGTTCGTGTGTATGCCGACGCCGACAACGGAGCCCAGCCCGTCAGCCGGTGAGAGCACATATAGCTACCGACATCGTACAGCCAGCGAGGGTTTACCGACCCGTTTACATTGATTTCTACGTTGTGTAATTATGTCCCTCGTTATGACATCGTATGTCGAGTTTGTATCACCGTCTGCGGCTATGAATATGTTTGTGTCCGTGACTGAACGCAATGACGTGCTTATGACATGTGACCATGACTGCACGCTGTGACTGTGACTGAGCTCTGTGACTGTGCCTTTGTGTCTGTGACTGTGGCCTGTAGCTGTGACTGCACTCTGCACACTGTGACTGTGACTACTGACTCGTGACCCACAGCACCGTCGCCGGACCGCGACTGCTCCGTGGACAACATCTGCTCAGAGAACGGCGTGTGTGGGTTCGACCTGACGGCCGACCGGTTCGTCTGCGCCTGTATGGAAGGCTTCGAGGGTGACGGCTTCAACTGCCAGCCGGCGACCACGCCGGCGCCGGAGGAGCAGCCCTCGGAGACGCCGGAGGGACAGCCCGAGGGACCAGAGGAACCCGAGGCAATTCCGGAGGTGAGGCGTCAGATCACTGGGCTGGAATAGGGGATTTGGGGCCCGGAGGGCGGCGAAAGGCACTGGGCTTTATTTGATGTTGCGAATAGTCTGAGGAATGAAGCAATGAATAACATAAAACATATTGCTTGGGTCATTTTGGAAGCATGAATCATTGACAAAATCCATCTGGTCAAATCACGTCTGTCATGGGCGCTCGCACGAAGGATCACAGTCTTGACCTAAACTCTGTCGAGTTATAGAGAGTGGACCTGACCTGCCTGTTCGGACAATTGGACCACACTCTCTGTTGTCCTGAACAGAGACCCCCGCCGTATTACAGAGGTTGGACTCGACGTGTGTGTTCGGACAATGGACTCTCTCACACTCACTCTCACTCTCTCACACCCTCTCTGCTGTTCTGATCTGTTCCGTTCCGTATTACAGAGGATAGACTCGACGTGCGTGTTCGAACGATGAAGCACACTCTCTCACTCACTCACTCTCTCACATACTCTCTGCTGTTCTGATTTGTTCCGTTCCGTATTACAGAGGGTGGACTCGACGTGTGTGTTCGAACAATGGACTCTCTCACACTCACTCACTCTCTCACACACTCTCTGCTGTTCTGATCTGTTCCGTTCCGTATTACAGAGGTTGGACTCGACCTGTGTGTTCGGTTTCTGCGTGTGTCCGGACGGCTATCAGCTCACAGACGATCAGGAGGAGTGCTTCCTGCTAAAAGGTAGGATCGGAGTGTATTAAAATGGAATCGGGAAGTGCCATAGGGACCGAAAGGAGTGTCTACTCTTGAAAGGTACGACTGAGATGTATCATGCTGGCATCAGACAAAGTTGGAGGGACCAGAAGAAGGTATTGTTTGTGCGAAGGCACTGCTGGAATGCATTTGAATTGAAAGATATGCCCAGGGGAATCACAAGTACAAAGAACAACTCTCAAGTATAGGCAGCCTTCTCTTGTGGCTGCGTTTCCTCCACTGCTCTCTCCCTCACCCTCTCCCCCTCCCCGTTCGCTCCTGTACGGACAGATGACGAAGATCAGACGCCCCTACCGTACTGCTACGACGGCGCCTGCTACTGTCCCGTCACCTACCGCTACGACAAGGTCATGGAAAAGTGTGTGCCTACTGGCGAGGGAGAGTACGACACCAAGGGTCCCAGCGGCACCGACGGAGAAGAGGGAGAAGCGGGAGAGGAAGTGGCGCCCACCGCAGTCACTGAGGGTGAGAGCTGGATGTGACTTATATAGCTTTGGAATAACATTGGTTTACGGTCACTTTTTATGTGAATTCCAAAGCAAAAACCTCTGTACTCACCCTCGGAGACGTCATAGACCTGGCTTGTGGAGACTTGCAAACAAAGGTTCTCGTGTTCTCGTGGAATGTTATTTTACCCGTCAGCCGTCTCCGAATTCTTTTTTGTCGCGCATGGGAGTTCACCGCCGAACATGTAACGTAACGATGTGGCCGATTCCTCTCATTGGTTCGCTCATACACAGCTCGGTGACGTGACCCTCCCCTGTTCCAGCTCCGTCCGAGGTCCCGGAGGTCCCCGAGTGCCGCGGTGACGTGACCCTCCCCCGTTCCAGCTCCGGCCGAGGTCCCAGAGGTCCCCGAGTGCCGCGGTGACGAGGACTGCGACGTGCACGCTCTCTGCTCCTACAACGCCACCAACGGTCGCTACCAGTGTTCGTGCTTCCCCGGCTACACGGAAGATGGCTCTGTGTGCACGCCCGACCCGAACGCCGACTGTTCCGTGCTGAAGGACTGCCACAAGGATGCTACCTGTGTGTACGACCAGGATGCCGACCGCTACCACTGCCAGTGCCGCCGAGGCTACGAGGGAGACGGGTAAGTAACCACTGAGCTGGGTTTGACAGAAATGGTGTGCAGTGGCGAGTCTTTTTGCTGTCAAAATTTAGGTATAGCTGAAGTTCTCTGAACACAAGAGCCATACCGCCATCCATCATGTAACCCATGCCAGCATCAGGGGTTCACATTTAGTTACTCCTGGCAGCTAACACAGCCATAAAATATTGCGGCCATGAGACCATGATCCATGATGCGTATATAAACGACCGTCTACCTGACGAGATTTCCCTGCCACCCGATCGTCTTCACCTCCGTCTTCCACCGGCAGCCGTCAGTGTGACGAGGTGGCCATCAGTTGTAATATCGTCAACAACTGCGGAGAGCGGGCCGAGTGCATGTACGTGCCGGAGGAGCTGCGCTTCAGCTGCCGGTGCCGACCGGTGAGTGAAGGCGGAGAGCTCGTTAGTCGTTGCCGCCCTTTATGTGAGCTTTCAGCTTGGTGAGAAAGTGCAGTGGTGCTCAGTTTGTGCGCTGAGTGCAATGAGCTCATTAGACCTAGTGATCCCGAAAAATTAACCGAGCAAGCTCAGTGACACTTGATGAGTGAACACTCAACATAACGAGCTTAGCGAGTGAGCTGAGTAAGTTTAGTGGGCGCAGTGAGTCCATTGAGGCTTGGTGACGTGGGTTTCGGTGACTCTTATGACATTGATGAGCTCAAAGACTTGAGTGAGTCCAGTGACGTTGCCAAGTGCCATCAATTTAAGCCTCCCTCCAACCCTCCGCCTCTCGCTCGCAGGGATTCTCCGGTGACGGTTACACGTGCCGGCCCAGTATCAGCTGCTACGACGAGCCCACTCAGTGTGACGTCAACGCTGCCTGCGTGCCCGACCTCGACGGCTTCCGCTGCGTCTGCCTCAAGGGATTCGTCGGTGACGGTATGTGACTACGCTGCACTGGCGCTAGAATCACATACCGCACTCGTCGATCGATAATATAATGCAGTTGATCCATTGGGAAAGTCGCTCAGTGCAGCTCAAGCATCATTATGTCGATGAGAAAGTGCAATAAGCCAACCAAACATGCGGATAATGAAGTGCATTTCAGATACCGAAAATAAGATTTACGTTTTTTATCCGGCATCAATTTAGAACGTTTACATTAAGGCACTTTGACCACTGCGCCCTGCAGATACACCAGCTCCTGACAAACGATTTTATGTTTATGTGTCGCAGGTCGCCGCTGCAGCCCTGCACCGCGCCACGAGGGCGGCTTCCTACTGCTGAACCAGGGCTCTGCCATCGTGAAGGTGCCGTTTGAGGCTAGGAAGCGGGGCCGGCCCATCATCCTGGAGCCGACACAGACAGCAGTCGGTCAGTGAAGGTTTGAGGGACGGCCGCCAGGTGGCAGGCAGGTCGGCTGGGTCCGGGCCGGGTGTCCTTATTTTGGGTTGATTGGTGTCAGTGCATACCTATATGAGGCGATGCTCAGAAAAACCAGGAGTTGCTATGCTTCCTTTGTTATATAAGGTGTCACGGACCCATCTTCTTAAAACGAAGTATATGTATAGTTGTTTTTATATCTTGCAATGATCGGTTGACCTGCAAGCATTTGAGATTCCCTCCAACATGGTCTGAGGTCACGTGACTTGCGGTCGATGGTCAATCACCTCTCCTGGTTCTGACAGGCATCGACACAGACTGTCTGGACGGCCGTATCTTCTGGAGTGACGTGGCAGGGAGGAAGATCAAGGCGGCCGCCTACAACGGCTCCCAGAGGGTCGACTTCGCCATGGGAGGTGGGTGAATATTCCAGAGAGGTTCACTTGTGTATCATAGACATATCATAGACAGCGGCAATGAGCTATCACAGTAATGGGCTTCGGCTACTATAAGTTCCCAGTTGTCTCAGGCTCTACCACCACTGGCCGAGTTCCCGCTCGCTAACAGAGCGTCTCTCTCCGTCAGGCATCAGCTCCCCAGAGGGCGTGGCGGTCGACTTTGTGTCCCGTAACGTGTACTGGACAGACTCAAGCCGCGACGCCATCGAGGTGGCCAGTATCGAGACGGGCAACCGGTTCACCGTCATCAGCAGCGGCCTGGTCAACGTGCGCGGTGTGGCCGTCCACCCGGGGCGCGGGTAAGGAACGGTCCACCAGGGACGGTTTTCCAGGGGCAGGGGTAGGGAACAGTCCACCCGGGACGGGGGTAAGGAACGGTCCACCAAAGACTGGGGTAGGGAATGGGTCACTGAGGACAGGAAGTAAGGAACACTACACCAAGGGTAGGGTAGGGAAAGACAGGAAACGGTGACATGTCAGTCACGTCTGGCTGGCAGGCTCAACGTTACAATATTATTAAGTGGTAAACAAGAGCCTGAAGCGTCAATCGTTAGCGTTATCAATAACCCTTACACACTGATCTCTTCACGTCACCCCCCCCCCCCACCCCTCCCCTCGAGCAGCACCATCTACTGGGCCGACTGGAACCGTCGCGAGCCGCGGATCGAGCGCGCCGCGCTGGACGGCTCCAACCGGCAGGTGCTGCTGGACGCGGAGCTCGGTCTGCCCAACTCGCTGGCCATCGACTTCGCCACGGACGAGCTGTGCTGGACCGACGCCGGCACCAAGAGCGTCGGTACGGCGGGGTAGAGGGGGATGGGGGGATCAGAGGGGAGGGGAGAAAGGCAGAGAGGCGCGCAGGCAAGGGGAGAGAAAGGGCGGGCGTTATTTTGATCGCACATACTTTAGGTATGGACGCTTTACATAATTATACTGGCCTGCATGTATAAATCTCTATCTGTGATTTGTTATGTGTGTGATCTTACAGGGCAGAATTTCATGCTCGGAGAGTAGCACAAAAGAAGATTCAGTAAGACTGTACGACATCTCAGCGCCTCAGTCGCGCGCCGTCCAATGACCGATATGTCCGTTCAATTTGCCGGCAGAGTGTTTTTCGCTGACGCACCGGACCCGCCGGCTGGTGGCTGACGGCGCCAGCTACCCCTTCGGCATCGCCATCACTGACGACAACATCTACTGGACCGACTGGAACGAGTGAGTACTGCATCTACTGGACTGACTGGAACGAGTGAGTACTGAGTGCTGGACCGACTGGAACGAGTGAGTACTGAGTACTGGACACACTGGAGAGCAAGTACCGGTCTCTGACAGACTGGAGCGAGTGAGTACCCATCTACTGGACTGACTGGAATGAGTGAGTACTCTCTAATGGACCGACTGGAACGAGTGAGTATTGAGTACTGGACCAACTGGAACGAGTAAGTACTCTCTAATGGACCGACTGGAACGAGTGGGTCTTGCAGCCCGATGAGGCAGAATTCGCTCTCCTATGACAAACTGAGTTTGCGCTGTATGCTGTGTCAAATTTAACTGTGAGCCTGGTCAATTCAGAGCCCCACAGACACTGACACTCGTTCGCTCTGATCTACAGTAAGAAGATCCACGTCGTGAACAAGGCGACGGGCGAGCGTGGCAAGTCGCTGCGGTCGGTGCTGGGGACGTCTGGGAAGCTGTATGGACTGGTGGCTACGCCTCGGACCTGTCCTCAGGGTAAGGAGCACTGTATTCCTCCTCTCCTGGGGTGGGTGCTTCGTCAGGGACGGCTGGGCTCAGGGAGAACGTGTTGAACAAGGTCCAAAGGAGTTTGCGGCTTTTGCCGCCATACATGGCCAACTCTGTGCGGGCAGCTGATGGATTTCAAGCAAAGGCAGATAAAATGGGTTGCTGAATACTACTGGAGCCATGATTAGCACGCAAAGGAGGCTCCAGTACCATGTCGTACGTACCTTGCGTCAAACCGAAGGGATGAATGTGGGACGTGATAAACAGCTTTCAACGGCAGTGGATACTTACCATTGTTTTCTTTTCAGTGACGAACGTGTGCGGACGTCAGAACGGCGGCTGCCCGGCCGAGCAGCTGTGTCTGCCCACGGACGGCGGAAGTCGAGTCTGCACCTGCCCGGACCAGTACGTCACCGAACCCTCGGGCCCGTCCATCTGCCGACAAAACGGAGACGGCCGCTGAGCGTGACACCTACCGGCCCGATCGGCCTGCCACCTACCGCCAACTGCGGGACACACGCTAAAAGTCCTACAGTGGACTTTGTGCTGAAAGAAGAACGCGGATGCAGTGTGCTGTTACTGTTCGAGTGAAAGGAAGCAATGGCAGAAGGAAGCAACTAGCCTATAGTAGCAATGTGCGTGAGCGCAGCTAGTGAGAAAGTGGATGACAGAGCTTGTGAGTACTTGTGCGTACTAGCCCCATCAACTAAGGGCGCATCGCATTACGTAAAACGAGCGGATGGCAACGATGATCGTAAACAGCGAAAAGCGCACGCCCTGAGGTAGTCGTTTAAAGAGTGATGTACCTTTGTACCGTTTTTGGAACATCATGCATTTATGGGTCAGCCATTTCACTGCCAAGCTTCTGCATACCGCTTGTGTTTTCTTTGCGCGCCTCATCGTCGATTTTGTACTTCAGTTTTTTTTTTTTGCAATGACACTATTATTGGGTATTGGCCCTATATTCGTTTAATGCAACCTTTCCTCCTAACATACATATGGCATGTTAAAAGATCGATTTGATATACCTAGTTGATACGCTGCGTCCTATACCCACCTAATGTGTCCTGAAAGATCATTGTTCGGTTTCAGGTGTGTAAGGCACAGATATAGGTCTAGTTCTGTCGTTAGTTGGCACGGGAATGATGCCCCTTAGTGCCATGCCTCCCGTTTGTTAGATTGGCCCGTCTGTGTGCGATAGAGCCCTCCTAACGTCCTAGGTCGCTGTCACGGTCCTCGGTTGGCGCGTGCGGGCTAAGAAACGGCGACCTTCAGTAAGCGTGTACTGTTGTGCCTTCACAGGTGTTTGAGGCCGGCCTGCAATACACATCAGAGTACACAGTCTTTGGGCAGTCTGAGATGCAGCCACCGTTCGAGATTAAGTCACTGGTCATAGCTAGGATGGGGGTGGAATTTCGGAAAGGTGCGACTCCACTGCACTTATCAGAGGGACCCGAAGAGCGAAATAAAAGTCGGCATAACCAACGCATATTATGATGCTGTAACGATGCATTTTGCGACGCAAAAGTCGACTGGGCAACACGGTAATGTTGTACGGTTCACCTTACGGCGAGATCTGTTGTGTTGATGGAGCAGGTTCAGTATCCCCCACATACTGGTATGAGGTTTGGTGCTCGGGCATTCGGCATTCGTGTAGGTAACGTTTTCTCCAGCCAATTCAAACTTTGCATTCAGCATGCTTGGAGTTCACTATTCAAAAGTGCCGCAAAAATATATCTACCTTTCTCCCCCTCTTTCTTTCATAATACCATTCTCCTCTCTCTCTCTCTCTCTCTCTCTCTCTCTCTCTCTCTCTCTCTCTCTCTCTCTCTCTCTCTCTCCTCTCTTCTCCCTCTCTCTCTCTCTCTCTCTCTCTCTCTCTCTCTCTCTCTCTCTTTCTCTCTCTCTCTCTCTCTCCAATATGTAAGGGGCGCGCGGCGCGCGGCGCCACGGGTGATCCGGACCACTGACATCTTCATTTCGGCGGCCACCTCCCGGGGCGAGGTGCTGCCAATCGCGCCCCGGTGCCTCCATCACAATACGTCCGTCTCACCGTCACCGGCGCGCATAACAAGCCGCGCCGCGCCGCCGGCGTATTTTCACAAGTTATGACACGGCCGAGGGGCCGCGCCGACCCCCAGCCGAGCCGCGATTGACACCTAGACTGCGGCGTGATCGGCGCGCGCGCCAGTTTGGCCGCGCCGCGCCGGTTTCGCCGATTGTTTGCCAGCCGACTGTCCATCACGGTTCGTTCTCAATTTGTATCTGGCTTGGTAATGAGGTTCTTGCGGCGAGCGCGGCGCAAAACCGGCGCCGCGGCCAACTCGGCGCACTCATGGGAGCCGTCAGGTCCGCGGTCGTCCGCGGGAGGTTTTTCCCAAGAGTTAATTGTTCCAGACGTGAATTGGCCTCGCCCCTGCTGACTGGGTCAGAGTCTGATTCAGTCAAGTGCTTCTTTTGAAATTTGACCCAGATGAAATATGCATGGGTGTGTGAATGAAAGCAGCACGTTTATTCGAGAACCTCCATGGTGATGTGGCTATGGGATTGTGAACATGCGGGCAAGTCAGCACCTCGGCGCGTGCGAGACTGTTTGGGCCAGATCCTGGGCCTGAGTATCGAAACTTCTTTCTTTCTTACCAAGGCTCTAAGCTTTGGAACAGCTTGCCCCCTCAAGTGAGGAACGCCTCAAAGAATGAAGTAATAAAGTACATTCTAACTAAGGCAGACATTGACAAGCCATGATTATCGGTCATATGCTCGTACTTATACAATGTATCGTTTCAACGTGTGCAATTGCCAGTGTTTCATTTGATGTCACTCGCCAGTCACTGCACTATACGTTTGAGGACTACTTCTTTGTATCAGGAGAATATTGATATGGTGGCAGTTTGAGTCTGTTCATGTAACGTGCATGTAGCCTGTAGGTAACATGCATAGGTAATAGGTATGTTCATACGTGGATCATGTTAAGTGTTGTGTACGGCTCTCCAGTAAAAGTCTTGTTGGTTTTGCTTTTTCGGACATATCTGGTCCTATAAAATGTTCAAATGCATAAGTATCAACCCGAATTGTGTGTATGCACATTTACCACGAGACTGTGAAATTGCATCGTTGTATGCCAAATACTTTCCGAGATATTCACCAAAAACCTCATTTTCTGCCGTTTGGGGTATTCTGGCCGCAGTCTTCCTGGGATCGCCTATGACATCCGTGGAGCCACCTAGCGAGAGGGGCGCGGAAACACAGAATCATGAATGAATCGAGCGCGTAGTAAACGGTGTATGAAAGGGAGACTCGGCAGAGGCTATCCGGGTGGCCGGCGCGCTGCGCGCCCTTAGGCATCGGTCGACCCTTCGGGCCGCGTGGGGTCAGAGGTCGCGAGCTCTGGGCTCTGGGTTTTAACGCTGTGCAGCTAGGGGACGGGAGGATAGCGCTGGCCCGACTGACTTCTAGATCGGCTGATGTGTGTGGGGCACAGAACGGGATGGTGTCTAGGGCATAGAACGGAACGAATGAATTGCGTTTCCAGAAAACAGCCTGTAATATAATATTTGCGATTATGCCAGAAGTTATTCAAAACGGAAACTAATCCTCGCCCGTTTCGTTGTTTTGCTAGCGTCTAACGTATAGGGGAGAGGGGGTTCGTTGGACCCCCTCCCCTGCCGTTCGGCCCCCGATGGAGCTAGAGATTTGCGAAAAAAGGAACGTATCGCCCGCGACAAGAAGAAGCGGATGATACCCAATTTTAAGGTCTTAGATCATTGGTTGACTTGCCAGGTCACGTCAATGACCCAAAAGTCGGGAAAACAGGGAATTCAGAACTTCTGTCAGAACTGTCAGAACTTTGTAAAGTGAGAGATTTTCGGTGTGCTGACCACGAATTTCATGTTAGCTTTGATCACAGATGATGTCTTCATGCATTTAGGCCAGGTCGGGTCAGGTTAGGGTCAGTCACGTTAACCAGTAGGCGTCGTGCCAGCTATCCATAGTAAGTGACGGTGTCAACCGCCATTACGGCGTCGCACATTTTACGAAGACACCCTTCGTAAATGTTCGAATGGATGGCCGCTTTTTGTTCGAGTCATTGGCGAAAAAA